TGCTCTCGTGAGTGTTGATTAAGTGTCTAATAGTGGTGTCATTTATCTGTGTTTAGCGCAAGTGTGACATGTATTGGCCTAAAGAAGGCTTGGAATCTTATGGCATAATTCACGTGAAACTACTTCAAGAGGTAGTGATGGCTACGTATACTCTCAGGACATTCAACGTCAAGAATCTTAAAGTTAAAAAGGTATTCAATAACTTACTGTAAAAAGTTTCAAAATTCTTACAGAATATTAACAACAATTTCTTTCAGAAACACGGGTCAGAGCGCACAGTCTATCAGTACCACTACACCAATTGGCCCGACCATGGAGTCCCCGACCATCCACTTCCAGTCTTGTCATTCGTTCGCAAGTCTTCAGCAGCTAATCCGCCAAATGGTGGCCCAATCATCGTTCATTGCTCGGCCGGCGTGGGTCGCACCGGCACTTACATCGTGTTGGACGCAATGCAGCGACAAATAAAGCACAGACAGTCCATCAATGTCTTTGGATTCCTGAAGCACATCCGGCAACAGAGGAACTACTTGGTCCAGACGGAGGAGCAGTATATCTTTATTCACGACGCCCTCCAGGAGGCCATCGAGTCGGGCGATACGGAGGTGCCGTCGAGTCATCTCTTGAAATACATTCAAACCCTACAGACCGGAGGCGACGGTTCCAGTAATGTTAGCTATGATAAGAGCCATCACTGGCCACTACTTGAGCGACAGTTCCGTCTCGTCACTCAATTCAAGGTTTGTTTCAATGGCTGGTTCTTGGATTCAATCATTTCTCACATTTATTATAACTTTTTTAGGCGAAAGACTTTAATGTCGTGTCAGCTCTAAAGCCGTGCAATAAAATGAAGAACAGATCACTGAATCTGATTCCACTCGAAGCACATCGCGTTCACATAATTCCCAAAGCTCCGGGAACTGATGGCTCCGACTATATAAACGCAACATTCCTTCCCGGATTCAATCGGCTCCGGGAGTTCATTATAACGCAACACCCGATTTGGGACACAATCTCTGATTTCTGGCAAATGGTTTGGGACCACAACTCGCAGACAATAGTCGTCCTCTCATCAGTCATCGACGAGAAGGAGTTCCCGCAGTTCTGGCCGGACAGGGATGACGAGAG